GGGAGGAGAGGAGAGGAGAGTGGGACAGGCGTGAGGAGGACTGCCTCTGGGGGAGATGAAGAGGGAGGTGGTCAGAACCAGAAAGGCAGGGCAGCACCAGGACAGGGGGCCTCTCGGGGACAGGAGGGTGCAGGCCAGCCCCCTCACCCATCCTTCTGGTCTGGTTTCTCCTGCAGGCCGGACAGCAGGCGGATGAGGCAGTCCTCATACTTGTCCAGGGAGCCCGAGGCACCTGCAGCCAGGTAGGCGTTGTATTCCTGGTAGAGCCAGGCGAAGGCCAGGTCCAGGCGGGCCCGCACATCCTCCAAGATGAAGGACAGGACCTCCGCCTTGAGGCCCGAGTTGAACTGTGTCACCAGGCTGGCCAGGATCTTTATGCGCACCTGGTGGGAGGGCAAGCCAGCACATCAGTGTAGGGTGGGCAACCCAGGGACTCCGCAATCGTGCCCTGTGACCCCTCCTGCCCAGGCGCAGGAACTCTCAGAGCAGACACGGAGTGAAGTGAGGAAGGCCAGCGAGGTCCCTTATACCCAGAAGGTCCTGTTTGTGTGGTGGAGGGTGGGGGTGCCAGGCCGGGGATCTATCATCACAGAATAAAAATGAGTTTCTAGGAGCAGCACCCATGTACTTAAATGCACAGAAAAAGATCCTCAAAGATTCCCCCAATTTGTGCCCTTGTCACCTTTGAAGAGGGGGATGGGGTGCAGGTGATGGCCACAGAAGATAGTACTAGATCTGGATTGCCTGGAAATATTTTTCAGCACAGAGAGTGTGTTCCTATACTACTGGCCAATCAAAAATTAACTTCATAGAATAGGAAAAAAGTCACTTTTTTCCATTCTTTGAAGGTAACAGTGCCAGCAAGTGGCAGAATCAGGACTGAGAACCAGGTATATTTCTAAAGCTAAATAGTAACAGTAAGAATATTAACAGCTGGGAAGAACCAAGACCACAAGCACAGCCCTCACTTGCAGAGGCCCCCGGCACCCGCCTTGTGTGCCCGAGCGCGTGTGTGCATTTCCACGTTTACTTGTCACCCAGCAGGAGCTGCCACTACTCTCTCTGTTTTATGGACGATGGGAGCGAGCTGGAGAAGCGGCTGTGAGCAGCAGAGCTGGGGTCCATAGCCAGGGAGGTTTGACGCTGGGGCCAGACTCTTCCCTGGATGTGAGGCAAATGCTTGAGGAGTGGGACTGAAAGGATGGGCTGGGCGGGTGGCAGGGGCATACCTGGGCTGCCCCGCTGCAGGCCACAGCCTTCTCAGCCCGCAGGATCCTCTTTACAGCGCCCAGCTTCATGGCCTCCACCTGGGCATCGGTCAGGGGCTTCAGCACGTCGCTGAGACGAAAGATCTTCTTGCGCCCACCAGCACCTGCCAGCCTACGTGGAAGAGCAGTGACAGCAACACTGACTCAGACCATCTTTCTTATAGCCCAGGCCTGTCTGGTGACGCTCCTGACTTCAAGGTCTAGATAGGCCACAGAGATGCCCCCAGCCCCCTGCTGCCTCTCCAACCTCCCTGTAACTCTGAGGCACGGTGGGGCGGTGGGTAAGAGGAAGGAAGAAGATGCTATTTTGGTTTTGCAGAGGGTGTCTAAGGGAAGGCTTCTGTGAGTGGGGATCTGAACGGAGGCAGGAACAAGACACACAAATGTCTGGGGGACCAGCTCTCCAGGCAAAGGCCCTGAGGTGGGAACCTGCTTGTGGGCATAACTGGAGGAGGAGTGAGGGTAGCAGATCTCACTCACCCATGTTAGTAAGACTTGGGTGGCTGGGACTGGCTGGATTTTGTGGTGTGTAAGGGAGATAATAATGGGGACAAGGATGGTGACAGCCAGTAGCACTTACTACACATCAGGAACCATGTAAAATGCTTGACAGTCAAAAATCACTTTTCTTTTTTTTGAGACCGAGTCTCACTCTGTTGCCCAGGCTGGAGTGCAGTGGTGTGATCTTGGCTCACTGCAACCTCCGCCTCCTGAGTTGAAGCAATTCTCTGCTGCAGCCTCCGGAGTAGCTGGGATTACAGGTGTCCACAACCACACCCAGCTAATTTTTTTATTTTTAGTAGCGATGGGGTTTCACCATCTTGGCCATGATGGTCTTGATCTCTTGACCGTGTGCTCCACCTGCCTCAGCCTCCCAAAGTGTTGGGATTACAGGCGTGAGCCACCAGGCCCTGCCCACAATCACTTTTCACTAGACTTATCTAATCTAGTTATCTAACCATCATCATCACAGAACTAATTTAAGGCTTCCTTGATCCTTATGAGAAAGATACTATCATTATCCCAATTTTAGACATAAAAAAGAGGGTGTTTTTTACAGGAAAGAAAACAGCAGCCGGCTGCAGTGGCTCACACCAGTAATCCCAGCACTTTGGGAGGCTGAGGCAGGTGGATCCCCTGAGGTCAGGAGTTCCAGATCAGCCTGGAGAAACCCCATCTCTACTAAAAATATAAAATTAGCCAGGTGTGGTGGCGCACGCCTGTAATCCCAGCTACTTGGGAGGCTGAGGCAGGAGAATTGTGTAAACCCGGGAGGTGGAGGGTGCGGTGAGCCGAGGTTGTGCCATTGCACTCCAGCCTGGGCAACAAGAGCAAAACTCCATCTCAAAAAATATACATTAATAAAGGCTGGGCGCAGTAGCTCATGCCTGTAATTCCAGCACTTTGTGGGGCCAAGGCTGGCGGATCACAAGGTCATGAGATGGAGACCACCCTGGCCAATACAGTGAAACCTGTCTCTACTAAAAATACAAAAAAATTAGCTGGGTGTGGTAGCACACGCCTGTAGTTCCAGCTACTAGGGAGGCTGAGGCAGGAGAATTGCTTGAACCCAGAAGGTGGAGATTGCAGTGAGCTGAGACTGTGCCATTGCACTACAGCCTGGGCAACAGTGTGAGACTCTGTCTCAAAAAAAAGAAAAGAAAAAAAAAAAAAGAAAACAGCAAAGGTTTAGCGGTTATGGTGGCACTGACCCGGGAGTCAGAGAGAACCGGGTCCAGACTTCTGTCTGTCTGCCTCACACTTAAACACACACACAGAGAACCTGGTCCAGACTTCTGTCTGCCTCACACTTAAACACACACACACACACACACACACACACACACACACACACACACACACGAGCTGAGAACCAGACCCCTGGAGTAGGTCTCCCGTCCTGCCCTAGTACCGAGAAGACGACTCACCGGGGCTGAGTGACAGGGATAATGGGCTCTGGCCTCCTCTTGGCCTGGGGCGCCTCCTCCTCCAGAGGGGACATGGAGCTCAGGGAGCCTACCACTGAGATGGCTTGGCCCTGGGCTGAAAGGCGCCGCTTGATCAGGACGCTCTCTGGCTTCACCACCTTCTCCTCCTTGGGCTCCTCCTTGCACTGTTTGGTCTGCTCCACACCTGGGAGGGAGACAGCAAATGGACACCCAGCATGTCAGACCCACCTGCTCTGACCCAAGGACCTCCTGTGTGCCCAGCTCTGTTCTGAGCTGGGTACCCTCTTTATCCTCACTTTGTAATACAACCGAGGCTGAAACTAGAAATGCCATTCATTGCTGGTGGGAGCAGCGGCTGGTACAGCCACTTTGGAAACATGATGAGCAGTTTTTGTTTTGAGACTGGTGTCACTCCGTTGCCCAGGCTGGAGTGCAGTGGTGCAATCATGGCTTACTGCAGCCTCGACCTCCTGGGCTCAAGCAAGCCTCCCACCTCAGCCGCTCAGCCTCCCAATTAGCTGGGACTACAGATGCATGCCAACATACCTGGCTAATTTTTGTATTTTTTTGTGGCGATGAGGACTCCATATGTTGCCCAGGCTGGTCTTAAACTCCTGGGCTCAAGCAATCCTCCCACCTCAGCCTTCCAAAGTGCTGGGATTACAGGTATGAGACACTGTGCCCAGCCCTCAGGTGTTTTATTTTTTTTTGGAGATGGAGTCTTGCTCCACTGCCCAGGCTGGAGTGCAGTGGCATGACCCTGACTCACTGCAGCCTCTGCCTCCTGGGTCCAAGACATTCTCCTGCCTCAGCTTCCTGAGTAACTGGGATTACAGATGCCCACCACCATGCCCAGCTAATTTTTGTATTTTCAGTAGAGACGGGGTTTCGCCACGTTGGCCAGGCTGGTCTCGAACTCCTTACTTCAGGTGATCCACCTGCCTCAGCCTACCAAAGTGCTGGGACTACAAGTGTGAGCCACCACACCCAGCCCAAAGCAGTTTGTAATAGCACTGATCACACCCTATGACCCAACAGTTCCACCCCTTGGTATATGCTCAAGATAGATGACAGCACGTGTACATGAAGAGACTTGGACACAAATGTTCACAGCAGCTTTATTCCCAATGGCCAAAAACTAGAAAGAAACCACAGATCCATCAATAGGGGTGTAGATAAACGAAAGACTGCATATTCATATAACGGAATACTACTGAGCAATAAAAAACCAACTACCACCTCACATGACAAAATGAAGGAATCTCAAAAACGTACAGCAGACCAGGCGTGGTGGCTCACACCTATAATTGCAGCGCTTTGGGAGACCGAGCAGAGTGGATCACCTGAGGTCTGGACTTTGAGACCAGCTTGGCCAACATAGTGAAACCCGTCTCTACTGACAATACCAGAAAAAAAAAAAAAAAAAAAAAAAAAAAATCAGTTGTGGTGCTGTGTGCCTGTAATCCCAGCTACCTGGGAGGTAGGAAAATCACTTAAACCCAGGAGGTGGAGGGTGCAGTGAGCTGAGATCATGCCACTGCACTCCAGCCTGGGCAACAGCATAAGACTCTGTCTGAAAAAAGAAAAGAAAAAAAAAAAAAAAAAAACAAAACCAAAACCAACAAAAACACGAAAAACAAAAAATTAGCCAAGCGTGGGCGTGGTGGCAGGTGCCTGTAATCCCAGGTACTCAGGAGGCTAAGGCAGGAGAATTGCTTGAACCCAGGAGGCAGAAGCTGCATTGAGCCAACACTGTGCCATTGTACTCCAGCCTGGGCCACAAGAGCAAAACTCCACCTCAAAAACAAACAAACAAAACAAAACAAAACAAAAAACAACCGTATGGTAAGCCAGAGAAGCCTGACTCTGTGATCCTATTTAGTTTAGTTCAAGAATAGGTAAAACTGGCCGGGCGCGGTGGCTCACGCCTGTAATCCCAGCACTTTGGGAGGCCGAGGCGGGTGGATCACGAGGTCAAGAGATCGAGACCATCCTGGTCAACACGGTGAAACCCCGTCTCTACTAAAAATACAAAAAATTAGCTGGGCATGGTGGTGCGTGCCTGTAATCCCAGCTACTCAGGAGGCTGAGGCAGGAGAATTGCCTGAACCCAGAAGGCGGAGGTTGCGGTGAGCCGAGATCGTGCCATTGCACTCCAGCCTGGGTAACAAGAGCGAAACTCCGTCTCAAAAAAAAAAAAAAAAAAAAAAAAAAAAAAAGAATAGGTAAAACTAGCGGATGGAGGCAGAAATCAGAACACTGGTTATCTCTGGAGTTTGATGCCCTGAGGCATCCCTGGAGGAACAAGGAGGAACTTTCTACAGTGGCAATGGTCTATAAATCTGAAGCTTTTTGAGTCTCAAGAAAACACAAGTGTAAAATTCCGTACCTGACCTCATGTGATAGATGGCAGTCAAAATTTTGTTTCATGAACAAAATTATTAAGAAATATCTTAAAATAATTACTTTTGAGGCAATGTGTGTAAGAAACATAAATGAATTTCATGTTTAGACTTGGGTCCTATCCCTGAGATACTTCATTATGTATATGCCAATATTCCAAATCCAAGGTCTGAAATCTGAAACACTTCTGGTCCCAAGCATTTTGGATAAGGGATATTTAACCTGTATCTTGATCTGGGAGATGGTTACACTAGTGTGTTCACTTTGTGAAAATTCACTAAGGTCTATAGTTAAGAGCTGTGCATTTCACTTACGTGTATTATACCTTAATAGTACTGTTAAAATAAGCTCAAAGAAGTTAACTAACTTGACCAAAGTCAGATAGCTATTAAGTAGATGAGATCTGATTCAACTCAGACCTCAAACCCAGGCCTGTTTGAATCGAAATCCCAGGACTTAAAAACACTGAGCCATCTATCTGTGGCAGCTGTCATTAGCTATACCTTAGCCCCCAGACAATTTTGCCTGCACAAGGAGGTGTTCTTCCATTAAAGAGATCCCAGAAGCCATAAGTGCCTACCCCTGCTCCAGGTCAGGGCCAGGACACACTCACCTGGTCCCAGACCGGCAGCTGTCATCTGTGTGGCCATGAGCCGAGCCAGGTGCTTGATCTGGGCTTCTGTGCCTGCTGACTCAACAGGAGTGTAGATGGCCTGGAAGGAGGCCGGCATGGCCTCGGGCAGGTACACCATGCTGATGAGGACCTGTGGGATGCCCAGGAAGACAGCCTCTCCTTAGTCATTAGCTCAGCAAGTTTTCTTTCCATGCCCATGCCAATACTGGGGAAATGGCAGTGCCTGAGACCGAAGTGGGCCTACTCTCCTGGAGCTCAGCCTCTTGGGGGAAGTCACAGAGAAAACAAATAATGATACAGTGTAGGGCTTGAGAGAGGGAAGTAAAGGGTACTATGAGCCACAGCAGGAGCCAGGCAAGGCTCCCTGGGGAAGAGGCACTGAGGCTGAGAACTGAGGGGAGGGCAGGAGTTAGCATAATATAGGACAAGGTTTTGCAGTGGGAGGGGTGTGTATTCCACAGAGAGGAACAGCATGGGAAAAGGCTAAGAAGCAGCAGAGCAGGCACCCTGTCCAAAGAACAAGAGGCTGGGCATGGTGGTTCACGCCTGTAATCCCAACACTCTGGGAGGGCGAGGGGGGTGGATCACTTGAGATCAGGAGTCCAAGACCAGCCTGGCCAAAATGGTGAAACACCGTCTCTACGAAAAATACAAAAATTAGCCGGGTACAGTGGCATACGCCTGTAAGCCCAGCCACTCAGGAGGCTGAGGCAGCAGAATCACTTGAACCCTGGAGGCGGGGGTTGTGGTGAATCCAAAATCATGCCACTGCACTCCAGCCTGGGTGACAGAGCAAGACTCCATCTCATAAATAAATAAATAAATAAATAAATAACAAAGAGCAAAAAGAGGTCCACTGAAGAGTATAAGGATTGGAAATTGACTTCAAAACACAAGCAAACAACAAAAAAAAACCCATTAGCCTAACAAAGAACATCCACAGATGTCAGGCATTATTAACAAAAGATAATGTCAAACTCCCTCTACATGTGGAACTTTAAAAAAAAATTATTTTTTTTTCTTAGAGACAGGGTTTTATACTCTATTGTCCAGGCTAGAGTGCAATGGCACCATCACAGCTCACTACAGCCTCAAATTCCTGGGCTCATGTGGATCCTTCTGCCTCAGCCTCTCGAGTAGCTAGGATTACAGGCACACGCCACCATGCTTGGTTAATTTTTTTATTTTCATTTTTGTAGAGACAGGGTCTCACTATGTTGCCAAGGTGAGACAGTGAACTTTAAATGCACGATCTAAGTAATAATGGAACTACTATACTTTTACATGTGTGGAATGCAGCTAAAATATACTTAAATGGAAAAATCAAATCCTTAAATGCTTGCTTACACTGGAAAAGATGACTAAAAATTAATGAGCCAATCACTTAAAACCGTGGGGAAAAACATTCAAAGAAAGTAGCAGGACAGAAATAAAGGCAACAGAATAAAACAGGAAAAGTGCTGAAAGAATATGAACAAAATAGGCAGTTCTTTGAGATGACTGAAAGCAAGCAAATATTTTGCAAGATTGGACACAGTGGTACCAATAGAGAAGCAGCACATTACAGACATACAGTATTTACACTATGGACAGCAGGTATTTTTATACATGTTGATGAGCAACTTCATGGCAAAACTGAAAAGGTGAATTTCCTAGCAGTGATAAGACAAAAGGTAGAATGGCCAGGAGTGGTGGCTCACGCCTGTAATCCCAACACTTTGGGAGGCCCAGGTGGACGGATCACCTGAGGTAAGGTCAGGAGCTCAAGACCAGTCTGGCCAACATGGCAAAACCCCATCTCTACTAAAAATATAAAAATTAGCTGGGCGCCATGGTGGGTGCCTGTAATCCAAGCTATGAGGGAGGCTGAGGCAGGAGAATTGCTTGAAGCCGGGAGGCAGAGGTTGCAGTGAGCCGAAATCACACCACTGCACTCCTAACTGGGTGACACAGGGAGACTTCGTCTTAAAAAAAATAAACACAAAAGCCAGATCAAAGATGGCTGACTAAGGCAAATGGAACTTAAATTTTACTTGAAGGAAGTTAGAGCCAGTTAGCAAGGGAGGGTTGGGCTTCAGATGAAAAGGGTGGGCCTGGCCCAGGGCAAGGGTTACAGGGGTGGAAAAGAGGGCAAGGATTAGGGAGAGACCGGAAAGGGGTTAATTCCCAGATTTTTGGTTTGGGAAGTGGAAGGGGCCTGCAGAGGATCATGGGGAGAAAATGGAAAAGTGTAGTTCTGCAATGGTGAGTCTGAGATGCTCCTGGGACATCCAAATGGAGGATGATCAGAAGCGGGCTGCATATCCAGGTGTGAAGCACACTGATGTAGTTTGGATATCTGTTACCGCCCAAATCTCACGTTGAATTACAATCCCCGATGCTGGAGGTGGGGCCTGGTTGGGGGTGTTTGGATCGTGGGGGTAGAATCCCTCATGGCTTGGTGCTGTCTTCGGGATGGCGAGTTCTTGTAAGATCTGGTCACGTAAAAGTGTGTGGCATCTCCCTGCCCCTCAACTCTCCCTCTCTCTTGCTCCTGCTCTGTCACATGAGATGCCTGCTCCCTCTTCACCTTTCACTATGATTGGAAACTTCCTGAGGTTTCTCCAGAAGCTGAGCAGACTCCAGCACCACACTTCCTGTATAGCCTGTAGAACTGTGAGCCAATTAGACCCCTTTGCTTTATAAATTAGGAGGGAACTCTGGAGGAGGTAGACAGTGTGAAGTGGAGGCAGGAGAAAGACTGAGGAGATCCTTCCTTCCCGCCCAGGGGGAAAACGCTCCTCACCCATCCTCACCAGATTGGCCACATTATCAGGCGTCAGCAGTGGCTGCAGGAACTCAGCTGTGATGTCTGTGTCTGACTGGCCGGAGATCTGGGCTGAGGCCTTTGAGGTCCCCGATGGGCCTGGCTCCAAGTCCTTGTCCTCATCGTCCTCCCCCAGGTTGGGCTCTGGGGTAAGCAAAAATAACAAGATGCTAGCTATAGAGAGAGCAGCGGGCCCTCCATCCTCCCAGGGTGCCCAGGTGGTGCCTGCCTCCGGTCAGCCTCAGCAAACAGGAGCAAACTGCAGATGAAGATCTAGGCTACAGCCCTGTCTCTGGTGCCAAAGCACCATGACTCTGGCCAACTACTTGACTCATTCTGGGCCTCAGTTCTCCTAATCTGGGAAATGGGAATAAGCCACATCACTGCAGCTTATCACGCTAAGCTCTGAGAAGATACTGTTATTATTATTATTATTTCAGACAGAGTCTCACTCTGTCACCCAGCCTGGAGTGCAGTGACGTGATGTCGGCACACTGCAACCTTTGCCTTTGGGTTCAAGAGATTCTCCTGTCTCAGCCTCCTGGGTAGCTGGAATTACAGGCACGCGCCACCATGCCCAGCTAATTTTTGTATTTTTAGTAGAGACAAGGTTTCACCATGCTGGTCAAGCTGGTCTCGAATTCCTGACCTTGTGATCCCCCCGCCTTGGCCTCCCAAAGTGCTGGGACTACAGGCATAAGCCACTGCGCCTGGCTGAGAAACATGTATTTATAGTTTCAAATATCCGCCCCCGGTTCCAGCTTATTACTGACAAAGAGAAAAATGGCACTTGACACTACAGAAACCTGGTCGATACTGCCTTAACGAACCGTTCAAAGTTAACATCGCCAACAATGGGACAGACATCATGTGCCTCCTGATCCCTCGTACTTAGGTGACGAGGGGATCACTTCTGTAGCATTCCTGCCAAAAGTGCCTAACCTGACTCCCGTCGTGAGACAAGAGCAGACAAACCCAAATGGAAGGAAGGCATTCTGCCAAACAACTGTCCGTGACTCTTCACAATGTCAATATCATGAGACACAACGTAAGGCTGAGGAACTGATTCAAGAGACTAATGAGACATGCCAACTAAACGCAGTGTGTGATCCACGTCTCATAGGAGTACACAGCTTTTAGTACTATTTTTATAACTTGTCTGTAAATTCAAAATTATTTCAAAATAAAAAGCTTATGGAAACAGAAAGAAAAAGTTGGTGGGTAAAATGTAACTTTAAATACACAAACCCTGGCTAGATATAGTGGCTCATGCCTGTAATCTCAGCACTTTGGGAGGCTGAGGCAGGCAGATCACTTGAGGTCAGGAGTTTGAAACCAGCCTGGCCAACATGATAAAAGCCCATCTTTACTAAAAATACAGAAAATTAGCCGGGCATGGAGGCAGATACCATAATTCCAGCTACTTGGGAGGCTGAGGCAGGAGAACTGCTTGAACCTAGGAGGCAGAGATTGCAGTAAGGCAAGATTGTGCCACTGCGAGCTCCAGCTGGCTAACAGAACAAGACTCCATCACAAAATAAATAAATAAATAAATAAATAAATAAATAAAATAAATAAATAAATAAAAAAATAAAAATAAAAATCCTTTGCCCCAGTAATCCCACCACTAAGAATTTGTCCCATGATTGGGTATACACACAAGACTGTTATAATACAGCAATCCTTACGCTTTAAAAAACAAATGGGGCTGGGCGATGTGGCT